CACAAACCTCACTAGGGTTGAGGGGGGCTTCTGCCTCAGCACAGCACTCTGCCCCTCTGCCCTCCTCACTGAGCACCTTCCTGAGGCTCTGCAGCCAAACCCAGCTCTGCTTGTCTCAAGAGGGAATTTGTTTTATGAACTTCCACTTAATAGGAAAATGTATTTATTGGGCATCCTTGCACTTTAGGGATCCTGTTCCTTCTCTGTCCTTTGCCTGTGTGTTTAGGTTATCCCCTGTATGATGCTGTGCATGGAGCATTCTGTGCATGCATTTTCTCTGTATGCTGAATGAGAGAAGGTTAAGGGTGTAATATATTGAGGAAAGAATGGTTCCTAGGGTAGACATCCTCCTGGTAGGATGGATAATTAACCACATTAACTAACCACATTAGCTTCAATGTGGTTCAGAAAACCTTGTGGTAGCCATTTACAGCTGATAAAGCTGGCTTTAGTACAAGTTAAAAATACAGCATCATCTTGTAATTTAACATTCCATTGAAAAAAGCAAAGTCTCCTGGTGTTTATGTTGGTGTTTACAGTGTGTGGTGGTAAGTGGGTTTTTTAAAATAAGAAATAACAGCTTGCTTCATTTTGCACTATGCACTGTGAGAAACTGAAGCTGCAGTTCTCTCAAAGCTTGGTCCTTGGAGGAAAAGAAATTAGGGAGTCTGTCACTGCCTCTGCTTTCCCAGTTGGTTGGTGGTTTTCCTGGAAAAGCAAAAACTTAGGATAAGAATTTAGGGATTGTTTCTACAAATAAGAGCTTAAATATGACACTGCTGTGGAAGCCCACCTAGCTAATTCTGTGTTTATATGGATCAGCCATATAAAGGGAATGTTATTTCTGAATCTAGTAGTTACTTCCATTGAGTCCTGAATTTTGCCCCTCCAAAGAACAAAACAGTTATCAGAAAATGAGAAAAGTGCCTGAGAGAAGACATAAGAGCTGAAGATAAATGCTATCAGGAGTTTCTCACATGGTGTCAGCACAGACTGAGGCTCCATCAGCAGAACACCAACAGAAGGCCTGGGCTTCCATCCCCACTCAGCTTGGGGTGTGATTTTTCTCCTCTGGATGTCACTTCTGTGATTTTGTGTGCAACCCACCTCACTCCTTGGATGCATGTGGAAAGTGGTGCAGAAATCACTTCTGAGTGCTGGGTTGCTCTGACCTAGCAGGTATCCTCTATTGTTATTTGGCTGATTTCTGTTTAACAGCTTTGATGGGTTACTCATGCAAAAGCAGGCATTTATGGTTGGTGACAAAGGGCAGCAGAACAGTCAGTTTAATAAAATATGAGCTAGAAGCTGACTTGTTGGGCATGTCTAAACTGACTGAGATTCTTTTAAAGCAAGCTGCAGCACCAAATGTTGCCTTTCCCTGCAGGAGGAACTTCTTGAAAACAATTTGCAAACGTTGGCTACTGATGTGGCTCCGGTTTATAAGAAGCTTGCTCCAGAAGCTTTCCAGAACCAGGTGGGTGTGTGAGATCCAGCTCTGATGAACAGTTTCAATCCAAGGAGCAGCCCCAGAGGGTGTTCCTGGTGGCTGTGCATTTGGAATCCTGGTGCATTTGGCAGGTTTCCACACACTGCCCCTCTTTACTTGAGCTGCTTAAGCTACTAATGGTGCTTAAGTAGTGCCATATTTTTATCTGTGAGAAATGCTGAGAGATAATGCTGTAAATAAAATGTTTTTCTATCCAAGACATTTGATTGTGGCTGACCTGATTATCATACTGGCATCCAGCCATAGATATTCCATATTTCACAGGAAAACATGAACCCCTGAGTCTGCTTGGCTGCCCTGGTGGTGTCCCAGGGCTGTGGGTGCCTGGTGGGGCTGCACAGCACTCTCAGTGCTCAGTGCCTGCAGTTTGCTCTCTCTCCAGGTGGAAAAGGCTGCCCTGGTGGTGTCCCAGGGCTGTGGGTGCCTGGTGGGCTTGCCCAGCACTCTCAGTGTCTGCAGTTTGCTCTCTCTCCCTGCAGGTGGAAAACGAGCACATGGGCCCCGACTGCCGGCTGGGCTGCAAGGACGGCCGGCCCTTCTCGGGTGTCACCGCCTGCATCGACTTCTGTGCCCACGCCCACAAGGACACGCACAACATGCACAACGGCAGCACCGTGGTACGTACCCTGCCCTCCTCACTGCTCCCACAGCGTGCTGCTGCTGCTGCTGTGGGCTCATTTCATTGCAGTGCTTTCACAGTTCACTGCACGTTGCCATTATCGATGCTCATTCTGTTTGTATATATTTGTTACTGTCTACGGAGGGCATGAGTTCATTTTATTGCAGAACAGATCAAAAGGGGGATGTGAGTGATCCCTCCTACAAAATACCTTCATTCTCTAAAGACTCCTGCTCCTGAGGAGAGGCCTGGCCAGAGGGCAGGTCAGTTATTCCTGGGAAAGGGCTGATGCTAAAGGGAAATGATTGTCTAACCAAGGAGCTGGACAGACCTCTGTGGAGGGAGAGCTAAAGCAAACTGATTAATTAGCAACTTACCTCCCCCAGGCTCACCAAATTCACTCTTTCTTGCACTGGGCACCTACCAGGTTCCTTGTTAGTGTAGATACAGGTCAGGAAGGAAACAGTATAGATTGTGGTTGAGCCAGGTGACCATTACAGTCTTTAAATCTCGGTATGAAAGGAAAACCCACAGATTGGTGTGGCTGTATTATATGCCTTGATGGATTACCAGTGAGAAAATTGGTTGGGAATTACTCAATTAAGTGATCTTTGAGAAATTAAGACCATAGTGTTGAAGAAAGAGAAGGTCAAGGCAGAAAAGATACAACTGGCAGTGTTCTTTGAGCAGCTGGAGCATCCCAGTGCTCTGAATAGTGAGGGTGACTTCCTGTACAGCAGTGCAGGTAACAACGGTAGCTTCCCTATCTATCAAAGGATGTATATCTGCAAAAAAATTATCTGAAATCTCTGCTTACTCTAGAATTTTTTTTGTTTTAAGGAATGCAAACTTAATTATTGTGTTGCTGTGATTCAATAAAGTGTTGCATTTACACCTGTAGTTAACACTGACCATTTCTATGTGACAGCAGTGAAATGACTGGTAAAGTTGTTTTAATGTTAATTTGTGGTTGTAAGGGGAGCGAAGGTCCATTCCTTTAAAGTATGGAAGCAGCTCTGGGAATCCACCAGGAATGCAGTCATCAATTGACTGTTATTTTTGCTTAGTGTTGGCAGTATGCATTGCACAATTGCTTCTGAAGCATAGGAATTTGATGCCCTTAGAGATTCTAAACTTGGAAATGAGACCTCCTTGTCAGACAAACTACATTATATGCTTTTTGATGAAGTTTAGTTTAGATGTTCTGAGTGCTCCATTACCTCCTGAATTAGAGACAAGATGGCAGCTGAGTCTGCTACTCATTTTGCCATAATGGATCACAAAAAAGTCATAAGTTATGGCCAGAAGCAGCTGGAGGGAGAATTAAACCTTTTTTGTGGAATTATTGGGGAATAGTTCTAGAACTGCATTTATCTGTAAGCACCTGCTGCCATTTCAGCTTCACATGGTCCTTGCTGGTGTTGATGCTTCATGGATTGTCTGTGGGGCGTTTGCACGTGGTTCCAAGGCTCAGAAACATGGAACAACTTGTGCAAGGTCACTGTGTGCTCATCACTAGCACTTTCCACCCAGTTCTGCCAGATAATATATGGCAGAATCTTCTGGTAATACCATAGGAAATGTGGTAAGGACAGAAGAAGAAATTAGTGCATGTGATACCAGCACCTCCTGCATTCCTGTCTGGTTCCAGAAGGTGGGACTGCCTACAAGGCTTAAAATACATGATGATTTCTTATAAATCACTGCTCATGATGGAGGGGATATTTACATTTTGTCTGTAAAATGTACTGAGTGCAGGTACAATTCTGAGGTGACAGCTCTCCCAGAGATTGCTTTCTCATCATGAACAGAATGAGAACAATTTACCCTGCACTGGAAACCTCCAGCATCCATCACTTTACTATTTTTCAGGGTTTTTTTTAACTGCTTGTCACACCTTACATTTTAAGGTCCCTACAGAGTATACTTGTCATCTTGTTAGTGTTGTTCAGATTTCTTCCCTTTCCCCTTACAGGAACACAAAATCTTTATTTATAAAATTTAAAGTTCTTCTAGGCTAAAAAGGTTAAAGTAAATGCCTTGTGAGTTGATAATTGCAAACGCTGCTGGCTCTGTTATTGTGACACCTTTTTGTTTTCTCCCTTCATCATTGGTAAATCACTTTCACTGCAAGTACCACAGGAATTCTGCATGGGCTACCCAAAGAAAAGGAAAACAGAGTCTATTCAAATTGTTTAAACCAGGCACAGACATAAGTTCAGCAAAGGACTTAAATTAGGTTAATAGTAAGGAATAAGTTTACTGTACAGTTAAAAAAATATATTTTAAAACATTCTTGCATTTTTCTCAGTTGTGTGTTTGATCAGCTGCACTATTTGTATGTGACTCTGAAAATTAATCATCCTGTAAAGTTTGTGTTAGCAGTGGGAGGGTCTTGGAAATGCCCTCTGGAGATACAAGAGAGAATAGCAGACCTTAACCTACACAAACTGGGGATTGCTGTTACAGGGTAATTAGCACTGAAGATTTGAGTTGCTAAACATTGTGTCTGGCTAGCGAGTCAAGCTCTGAATTGACCCTGCTTTTGGTAGAAAGCTGAAATCAAACACTCCCTGCTTGCTCTGGAGCAGAATGACAATTCTACAGAGATGTAAACTAATGTGTTTGTCTGAAAGAAGCAGAAATAATTTCTGCCTACAAAATGAGTTTTTAAAGAACCTTTAAGGCAATAAATGTACCATTCATTTTTACTTAGACTCTTTTGTCATCTCTTAAGTTCTCCTAAGGGCCACTGATGTGTGTTACAGCTGCAGTGTAGGGTGCTTGCTCCTTATGGATGTGAAGCTAAATGGGCAACACAGATAAAAGCTTTATAGCTATTGATGGAGCCTGTGGAATGTGAGGACTTCTGTTCCTTTATCAGATTAGCTGTGAAGGGCCATGTTCTTCACAGCTGTGGGGATCCATTTAAGGCACTGGCAGTGTTCTTTCTGGGGTTTGGAAGTGACTGGGACACAGAGGCTGCTGCTGGTTCTGCAGCTTGTGTGTGGGTGTTGCTCATCCTTGGGGCAGGGCCCTTGGTGCTGGGCTGAGGAAGGACACACCAGCTGCAGTTCTGCAGCAGACATTGGGAAGAAGGGGAGGAAGATAAATCTCTGTTTTGAGGGCACCTACAATCTGTAATTCATTACTGGCAGTAGAGCTAAGTACTGACAATCACCAGTCTGTCAGCAAACTCTTTGGGGTTCAGGTAAACCCCCAAACGCTCTGCTTTTGCCATGCCTGGGTGTATTTTGGCACATGACAGCACTGGCAGGGGGCTCCAGGCCTTGGCAGTGGCTGGCAGGGTGGCTGTGCATGGTCACACCACTGTCTGCACCCCCTGCTCACTTTGGGGGCTGCAGCAGCTCCAGGGGCTTCAGTTGGTGCTTCAGTTTATCCCAGACAGGAGGAAGATGAATCCCTGGGCCTGTGAAGAGGAATTTCTGTTTGATTTTTCTATTGTGCAAATGGAGAAATGTGAGAAGGTCACTCTGCTGACCTGTGAGCTCCAGGGAGCAGTTCTGGGCTGCACCTGTGTCTGATGGCACAGCCTGGGGGCATCAGGTGGGCAAAAGGAGGAGAAGTTTGGGGTTCCCTGCTCTGGTTCTGATCTGCATACTCTTGTGCAGGTCAGGAGAACAATGTGGTTTGTGCTGGCTGCAAAGGAAAAGCAAAGCAGTTTTATCCATGATGGTGGGCAGGGCTGCACAGCCCCTGAGCCCCCAGGGGCACCCACTGTGTCTCCAGCTGCTCAGGGAGGGGATTCCATCTCAGGAATGGAACCTGATTCCATCTCCCAGCTTTGGGAAGGCTGTTTGACTGCTGAAACCTGAATGGGAACCATCTGTTATTGCAACCCAGTGGAAAAGCTCCATCATTGCTGCACATGGGGTTCAGGAGGACACAGGCACATCAAAGAGAAACAGAATAACACACTGGGAGCTGTGTGGCTGCACAGGGATGTCTGCAGGGGATTGCACTGAGTTCCTGCTGCATTTGAAGTTTAAATGAAGGGATTAGTAATCAAGTTTAATAAACATGCAACTTTCACCATGACATCACTAAACCCAGCATAGGTGATGAGTTTGATCACCAAGCACATTGGAAAGCTAAACAAACCTTTTGGCCAACACTTCTTTGGCCTTTGAGCATCCTGGATGGTTTAGCTGCCTGTTCTGGAAAAAGCAGAGTAGCAGGATATGCAGCTTCATGCTGTAAATGGCCTCTAACAGACTTGATGGCTTTCTCATGTTTGTGTTTCATTTTGGTCAGTTTGCAGCAATGGAAAATTCTGCTTTTCACTTCTCAGCAATGGCTCCTAAATTCCTTAATGGAATATTTTGCACAGATTTGAATGTTGGAGTATTTTTTAAGCAGAAAATTCTGAATTGATGATTTACTACCTTTAGCTGGAAGTTTTTAGCTAATCTGTACTACCTGAATTTATGGCTGGTTTTCTCATATCATTATTTTCAGTTATCTGTTTGCCCTAGCACCCTTACTTTCATGTTAAAATATTTTAAGGGGACACTAACTGTGAAAGTATTAAAATTGGTGTTATGGCATTTAGGCTGTAGATGTATTGGTCTTCAGATCTGGATACAATTTTGGTTATACATGAATTTCCTAATATGTGTTTGAAGTCAGTATTTAATATCCAGGGTGTGCTGGAGTTGACAGTTCTTGCAGCACAATTGTGTCAATACAGTACAGCCCTCATCTTGTTCAGTTCCTCAGAACAGTTCTTCATCTTTCTTGTTCCATAAGATGTTGGCTTTTGCATGGAAATTTATAATTGTCAATTGGATGAGGGTCTCAATATTCAAAATAATAAATATTGTGGATTGAACCTTCAAGACTTCTTTCAGACTAGTGCCTGGGCCAGACACAGGCTGGACATGGTATTCTAAAAGACCACTGCCCATTTTCTGGTGAAAACAAGAGGCAGCCAGGCCCCTCCATGCTGACTTTATTACTGCTTTTGTTTATCATTTAGAAGGGGAAATCCTGGGGTGTTTCTGGGTCACTGCGACCCCGAGAATGTTAAAAGTCTCTTTTCCCAGCCTGGCGCTTGAAGAAGGAGTCAGGGCTCTTCATTTCTCAGTCTCAAGGTTGTTTATTGTTCTTATTGATAAAATTCTTTCTTCTGCCCTGATGAGGTCAGCTCAGCTCGACAGACAGAGGCACTCTGCCTGTCCCAGGGTGGTGTTATGTCTTTATACTAAAAACTATATGTACAATATTTACAATTTACTTCCCAATACCTATCACCTATGTCAGACAGTGAGCTTCTACTCTAAACTAGTCCAAAAGTGACAACATCACAGCAGGAGATGGAGGCCAAGAAGAAGAAGGAAAAAGGCTGGACACACCCAGTTCCCTCCATCTTGCCCCCTGAACCCCCATACCAAAAACCGTAAAATCTACTTTTCCACCCCATGATAACTTCACTATTATTCTACCTAAACTGTTGTGGCTTGCTGATCTCCATCTAAGGTTGGTAATTTGCTCCATGAGTCACAATCAAACCCACAGGGGCATCTTGGGCTCTGTGCCAGGGTCTGTGAGCTCCCTGGCAGGGTCTGGGCTGCTCAGCACAGCCACAGGGATGCCCTGGGTGCCCACAGGGACAGTGCACTGGGCTCTCTAAAAACACCACCCCTATATAATGATGCTCCCTGTATGTGCAGCCCTCTCACCCTCCCTGAATAAAGTGGCACCTGCTGGCCACTTTCAGCAGGTGTCACTGACCTTGGCAGGAGCAGAGTTGTCTTTGGGCTCTGGAGGCAGTTGCTGTGGGCTGTGCAGTGTCCCTGGGCTGGGCTGGGGGCTGCATGCAGGGAGGAGGTGCCAGGCAGGGTGGGAGCAGGAGCCCTGCTGGGCCTGGGCTGTGGGAGTGAGGCTGGCAGAGCCCGCAGGCAGCGAGGTTCCAGTGCTGCTCACTGAACAACTTCTGTTTTCTCTGAATCTGCCTCCTGGTGCAGAGGCTGCCCAGAGGAGGTGAGTACCTCAGTGAGTGCTACAAAGCAGCTGCTCACTGCCCTGGAGCCCCTCTGCATCCTTCCCACTGCCTCCTGGAAAGCTCTTCCTCCTCTCTGCCTCCCACATTTCCTCCTTTTGCTGCTCTGCAACTGCCAAGCTTTGCATAGAGCTGTTGATAAGCCCGAGCCACCACGTTTTTGGTTCAGGATTTTTTAGTTTGTGTTTCTGTACTTTTATTTTTCTAGAAATAATTGTGTGATGCCTTTATGCAAAAGCTGTGCTATGAAATAAAAAATGTTTGGTTTTTTTTCATCCCTTAAATAATAACATTCTTCTCCCCTGGAATGTTAGGAATGGTGAGAAGATTGGGAAATTGGATTGACTGTTTATGATAGGTGTCAGATTGAGCCTGCAGAATGATGGAATGCTAAACTTCCATTTAGGGAATATAATTTCATCCTTGGATGGTGCTCCTGTTCCTTTCTGTGTGTAGTTAGTGACTCCTGTGGGGCAGCAGCTTCCCTCAGCCATGGTATCCTTGTAGGGC